AATTGACGTAAGTTCGGGAATGAGATTATTTTGGGATTATAAGTATTACGCTATTTCAAACAAGTGATAAATAAAATCGTAAAGGTGAAAGGGTAAGCGAATCGAAGAAAACGAGTTTCGTCGAAGTTTGTCAATTTGGGATAAAATACGGTCCGTCTATAAAACCCGGTATTTATGGACTAATGCCATACAAGGTACCACATGACCATGATAGTGAGGTGTATAAGGTATGCTAAAGTGAGTAGTATTTTAAGTAATTTGAGATAATTCGTAATTATGTGAATAGTTGGGTTACTTAATGATTTTGGTGGGAATATTATCTAAGAAATTAAAATCCTTGGGATAAAGATTAAGGACACTTAACGTGGCAGCCCTTGCCTTAGGGAAATAGTGACTACTAAGTTCACATAAAAGGTGTCAATAGTTGGGAAAGTCTTTGGCCAAGTAACCCCTATCAAGTGGGGCCCACACCACTACAATAAGGAGCCTTTCAAATTCTTTCATTCATTTTGAGGAAAGAAATCGTATGGATCTTCCATGAGATACATGAAATCTACATGAATATTTCATTAGTTGGATATTTCATTAAGTTGGACATGAAATCGTATGGATCTGCTTTCAACATTAGTTGGATTTCTACATGAATATTTCATTAAGTTTCAAATGGAGAAATGCTTACATCTAATCTACATGGCAACGTGAGTTACTCTAAGTGCTTCAACATTTCATACGAAGGCTATTTAATACAATAGCAACGGGGTTTTGAGATTCTAAGGGAGTACAGTGAAATCTTTCTCAAGAATATCATACAGATTCTTCCCTACTTCGACCCGCCGTTACGTGTTTCGTCGCAATTGGCGCGTGTCAAAAGGATTGCCAAGAGAATCGGTTCAGGTATGTTAAGGCCATCCCTTATTTCTTTTTTGGCATGATTCAAATTATACGGAAGAAACGAGCAAATGCACAACTTCCATAAATTACTCTATTCGTAGAAATGCTAGAGATGTATATGTTCTTATTCTCCCATAAGTCTTATTATTCTATTGTCTGTTCATGGGTCTCAAAAAAATACGTATTTGATAAAGTTTATCCGAAAGGCATATTGAGTTTTATGGCATTCCGAGAAAATCTAATTAACATATTTCTTATGCATTTCATGCATTTATACATGTACATTGACCCATGGCCAGATAACGTTATATATGCATATATATATGTATATTATATTTATACGGGATACGGGAAAAAAGTTACGATGTTATATACGCACCACCACCTGATCAGCTAGTATACGTTGATGATTTTGCCCATAGTGGCCGAGATGATATGATGGGATGCCCTTAGAGGCTTGATGATGTTATGAATACATGTACCTATGCACGACACGATATTTTTACGCACATGCATGGCATTATACATATTAATGATTCACAGAGTTATTCAAACTTACATGTCGTGTCTTTTACTCCATGTTTCTCTCATGTTTATTATTTACTGATTTTCATTCCTTACATACTCGGTACATTATTTGTACTGACGTCCCTTTTTCCCGGGGACGCTGTATTTCATACCCGCAGGTCCCAATAGACAGGTCGAGAGTCCTCCAAGTAGGCTATCAGCTCAGCGGAAGAGGTTCGTGCGCTCCATTTGCTCCGGAGTTGCTTGTTTGGTCAGTATAAATTAGACGTGTATTGTTTGGTATGGGGGGGTCCTATCCCGACTTTTATGACAATTATGTACTCTTAGAGGCTTGTAGACATATGTCATGTATACAGATACTTGTATGGCCTTGTCGGCCTATCTCTAGTGTACGAGTGATCATTTTGGTCTTGTAGGCCAGTATATCATATGTATAAGTTTGGATTACATGTTGGGGTGTCAAATGTCGAGTATTTCCCCATGTTTTATTCTATTATCTCATGACAGCCTCTATGGCTCATTTACCTATAATAGTATGATAGAAAAGATACGTTACGTAGGTAATCAGTTGAGTAAGGTACCGGGTGCTTGTTACGGCCCATCGATTTGGGTCGTGACATATTTGATGGGATTTGACAGAGACAGAGGTAGGGTGGGTGGTAGGGAGGGAGTAGGTTTCGTAAGAAGAAATGATTTCATGCAGTGTAGGCTTCTTTGGAGTAGTGTTTCTGATATTTTCGCTAATTTTTTGTACTGTGTATTTTATTATTTTTTCCATATTTGGTAATCTGTTCGTGTCCTTGAGAACCTGTTTATGCTCCTTTTCCGTGTCTATTTTAGGGTGTTGTCGTCAGTGTTTTTGTCAGCTCAATAGTGTTATTTGTTGTAAAGAGATTTTTTGTTTGTGGCATAGTTGATGGGCAGTTAGTTGTTGTGGCCAAAAATAGAAAGATGAATATTTTATTCCTGATGATGTAAGATTGGTGATGTCGTTGATGATGGGGTTGGGGTTGTAGTGTTAGGTTTGCAATTTTTCTATTTTGGTAGTTTGTTTTCTAATCTAGTTGACTTAGGATAGAATCGATTTTTTTTTTGTACATAGCTAGTTGAGCCTTCAGAGATGGTAGAGGTCGGATAAACTTTTTATTTTTTGGTTCCCAAGATTGAGGTGAGTGTAGGCGTGGATAATCTACAATTTGAGCTAGTAAGGATGATGATATTTTTTGCTTTTCCTATTTCTTTTTCTTTTAATTTCTCTTTTTTTTCGACAGGAAGTTGTCTGTGATTCTTCCCTTCCCTTTTTTCTTCTTTTTCTTTATTTCTTTTTTCTATTTCTTTTTTTTAGTTTTCACTAGTTTGTTTTTCTAAATTTTTTAAATTTTGAGTTGTAGTGGTGTACCTTTTGTTTGAGTATGACGCTATCTTTCACTGTTCATTAGCCGTGTCTGATGTAGAGTTGTCCTTTGCCTTTGTGGATGTTGTGTTCTCATTCTGACATTGATATAGATTGTGTCCCAGGTCCGCATAGTGTGCATAGTGGATTGGTGTCTTCATAGTGGATATCCTGTAGATGTTTCCCAATCATGACATTTCTTGGTAGTGATTTTCCTAGGGATGCCAAAATACACAAGTGTGCATAATGTCCCATGGTCGTGTTTGTAGTGCAACCGTCGATCTTCAAAATATCCCCGATCATTCGGCCAATTTTATTCTGGAATTTCAAGGTCATAGTACTCCGTGGGTAATTCCTCAAGTCGTACCCTTATCGTGGAGAAGTTAATGTGATTTGCGTTGGGATTGAATTTTGGTGTCCATTTTCTGACACTAAGGTACTGTGAGCCAATAAACCAAGGTTCGTTATTGATGACTCTTTGGTAGTGGTCATGGGATGAGAACCATATCAGATAGTAGTCGTTACCTAGATCAATTAGGTTCATAGGTTCTTATGAGTTCCAGATTTTTTGGATTTTTGTGCATAGTAAGTTGTACCCCATACGTTTTCCCAATAGTTTGATGATTAAGGACTCTTTTCAGGGTTTATATAGTATGGTTTTGTCCTCTATTGTAATGAGTATGAAGTTAGGATGGTTTGATGGGTTGTCTTTTTCCTCCTCTAATTAAGATTGCTAAAAGTTGTGCAATCAAAATTCATGGCAGTGAAAGTTGATTTTGGGTTATTGTATCTCTGTAACTGACCCGAGTTTCAGTAAATGTATCACAATTTTTTGGTCTGTGCGTACTGCGTGAGAGCTGGTCTTCCTCTTTATTGGTTAGGGTGCTGTCTTCCATTCGTCTGCTTTATGGTTTGGCGGAATGTATTTTTGGTAGTGGTATCACAGCGAGTTGTTTGGAAGCTTGATTGATTGATTTTGTTTCTCTCTCTATTTTCTAGAGAGAAGTCAGAGAAAAAATCAAAAACTTTTTGTACCCCGTAAACACTTTCATTCACCATGATTTCAAACCTTTGATAATATGCACCTTTTTAAACACTTTCATTCACCATGATTTCAAACCTCTGAAAACATACATTTGGAGGTCGATACTTATTAAAAAATTATTTTAAACGATTTTATCTCTTTTTATCCTTATGTGAGCTATTAGTACTTTCTTGCGTATGTAGTTATTTTTATTTTATTGAACATTTATATGACGATATTCATCTTAAAATCTATAATTTTATCTACATTATGGATACATAAAAAAAGAAGCTCTAAGAAATAATTAGAAAAGATCAACTAACCTCAATCATTTTGAAAGAAAATATTACCTTAAAAGTGACTAAATTATAGAAGAATAAATATAATACGATGATAACAGTGTATTTTTATCATCAAGTTTTAATGAAGAGTAAAATTAAACAAAAGTCCATAATTAAAGAACAAATTTAGACATTTTCATCTTTTATAAACTGCTGAAGAAATAAATCCAGAACACAAGTGCGTGATACTAATATGAACTTTTATTTTGAAAAGTTTAAACAAAAATTATATAATAGAAAATTATATCTCACTATTTTTATAGTTAGAAATAAACAAAAAAGGTAGTAATTGAAAATAAATCCAATTAATAACAGAAACTTTAGAATAAGTTAATATTATAGATTAACTTTCTCTCTCTAGAGTTTTCTCTCAGCGCACGTTATCGTGGCCTAGCTAATGTGCACTTTGGAAGTCATGGGAGGGAGAGGCAGACTTAAGAGGAACCTTATGAAGGTTCCAACTACACTCAGCGGAAGCCAGAAATGCAGTCTTAGAACTATTTGTATCACCAAAAGGAGTGAGGGTTGAAGAACCTAATGAAACAGTCATGCCGAGGAGCATGCAAAGTGAACAGAGCAAGGAGGAAGAAAATCTAGCTCACAGAAATGGCAAAATGAAAGCTGTAGATGTCACACCTGTAGCTGCACAAGCTATAAGAGGTGGATCTGGAAGTGGGATAGCTCAAGTACAAGCGAAGACTCCGAGCAATAATGGAACAGTACCATGCAGCTTAGCTACTGTTGAGACTAGTAAAATGGCAGAACTAGGAAAAGAGAGCAAGATGCAAACATGGGCAAAAGTGATAGGGGTAACAAATTAGCGATGAAAGGTATGAATATACAATTTATTGCTCCGATAATCCAAAATGGAGAGAAGATTGTGAAATTAGACCTCGAGGATGTAGAGCAGGAAAATGATAAGTGGAGATCTGCGATTGTGCTTTATGTGATAGGAGATTCACCTACTATTGGAGCAACGGAAAGATTCCTGAGATCAGTAGGTAAATTTTTAGGGAAGCCACAGATCTACTATCATAATGATGATTACTCTGTGATAAGGTTTAGTAATTTGGAAGAAAGAGATCAAGTACTGTATTCCGGCCCTCATACAGTGAACAATCGTCCAATTATCATGAAAGCATGGTCAGCAGATTTCACTTTGCATGATGAAGTACTGAAAACCATTCCCCTGTGGGTCAGATTCCCAAATTTGCCGCTCAATTGCTGGAGTATGAAGGCCCTAAGTAAGTTAGGTAGTGCTTTGGGAAATCCTGTTTATGCTGATGAGTGCACTACTGAATCAATAATTGAAATGGATGTCACTCTACCATTGCCTAGGAATGTGAAGCTGCAAGACCCAAAGGGCAAAATAATACAACAGGAAATTACATATGATTGGGAGCTATCATTCTGTGCTAAATGTCTGAAAATAGGCCATGACTGTAATGAAGTTAGAGCCCCACAACCACAGAGAATGACATATTAGAGGAAGGTGAATAAAGTCAAACAAGTTTGGCTTAGAACTGATAGAGATGGATCAAATAAAAACAAACAGGAGGCTGAATAAAGTGAGAAGAATGAAGTAATCCAAACTGCATAGCAAGGGGCAAAGACAAAGGACAATGAGAAACAAGGAAAGGATGATGGGTGGATAACAGTGCTTGGTAAATCAGCAGCAAGGGCAGCCAAAGCTAAACAAAATGAGGAGCAGAGTCTGGTTGGGAACAATGGATTCCAATCTCTGAGAAATGATCAAGCAAATAGTGACCCGGGCACAAGTTGTATGCAGATGGGGAGTGGAGGGGTGCAAGAGCTGTATCAAGGTACTCAGTTCATACCAATATGAGTGTGATCACATGGAATGTTAGGGGATTGAATAAAACTTATAAGCAAAAGGAGATAAAGGAGTTTATAAAAGAAGATAAAAAAGTAGTAATAGCTCTAGTAGGGCACAGAATAAAGGAACAGAAAACTAGAGATGTAATGGAAAAGATTGCACCTGGATGGAAATTGATAACCAACTTTAGTACAATGAACAAAAGTAGAATTTGGGTGATTTGGGATCCTAAAATCTATGTATTTGCCCCAATTGAAATTGATGAGCAGCTAATACATGGTCAGCTCAGAGCAGTCTCAAAGTTGTTTACAATTGGTTTTACAGCAATTTATGGACTGCATACCATCAAAGATAGGCAGAGTTTATGGAGCAAATTGAGACTGATTCACAGTACACAACAGGGACCTTGGTTAGCAATGGGAGATTACAATACTGTGTTAAATGAACATGATAGTCAACATGGCTCAGTGATACAAGATATGGAGACAAAAGACTTCAAAGAGTTCATGATGGACACTGGGATGAATGAACTGCAAACTGTGGGAAGGGACTATACCTAGACCAATAATCATACTTATAGTAGAATAGACAGGGGACTGGTTAATGCTAATTGGATGTTGACAATGCCAAGTTGAGAATACAGGTGCTAGAACCATCTGTGTCTGATCACTCTCCACTTAAGCTAATGATTACACAGATACAGAGGAAGAAGATAGGCCACTTCCGATTCTTTAATTGTATAGCAGACCATCCTCAATTTATACAACAAGTTGAACAAGTATGGAGTATAGATGGAACACAGGAAAGGATGCAGGAGGTATGGAATAAGCTCAAAAGGGTCAAGGAGATTATAAAAGGGATAAACACACAACATTATCAAGGGGTGGAGAATAGAACTAAAGAAACAAGGAAGGAGTTGCTAGCTATTCAAGAGGAGATGAGTGTTAGAGTGCAACAATCAGACTTAATTGAGAAAGAGAAAACACTAAAATGTGAATTAGAAAAATAGTCACTGATTGAAGAGAGTATCTACAAGCAAAGATCCAGAGTCCAATGGCTAAAACTGGGAGATTCCAACTCTGCCTATTTCTTTGCACAAATGAAGAACATGAATAACTTGAATGGCATCCAGGCTCTAACAAATGAAGTGGGGATCCAACTAATGCTAGAAGAAGATATAGAGGTAGAAATAATGGGATATTATAAGAAATTGTTGGGTTCAAGAGCAGAAAGTATACCTGCTATTAGTCCAAATGTCATGAAGATGGGAACAATACTAAGTAGGGAGCAGCAGTTGCAACTCATCCAACCAGTGACTAAGGAGGAAGTGTGGCTAGCATTGAAGGATATTAGTGACTTAAAAGCACCTGGCTATGATGGATTTAATGCAGTGTTCTTCAAAAAAGCATGGGAAGTAATAGGAGAGGATGTGACTAAGGCTGTTCTAGAGTTCTTTGAATCAGCTCAAATGTACAGACCTATCAACTGCACAGCAATCACTTTGATCCTTAAAGTAAGGAATCCTACCAGCATTAAAGAATACAGACCAATCTCTTGGCGCACTACTTTGTATAAAGTGATCTCTAAGATCTTAACTAAGTGACTACAAAGGGTGATGGATGTACTAATTGATAAAACACAGTCTGCCTTTGTTCCTGGAAGAGTGATAACAGACAACATTATCCTTAGCCATGAACTTGTAAAAGGATATGGAAGAAGAGGGGTGTCACCAAGGTGTATAATGAAACTGGATATGCGAAAGGCATATGATTATATTGAATGGGGGTTTATGGAGCAGGTGCTGAATGCAATGGCTTTTCCAGACCAGTTTGTGAGATGGATCATGAGTTGTGTGGAAAGTGTTACATATACAATCTTGATTAATGTCATTGACACAACCATTTGAAGCTAGGAAGGGGTTGAGGCAAGGGGATCAATTATCTCCATTTCTATTTGTGCTAGCAATGGAATACTTGAGAAGGAGCCTAAAGACAGTGAACAAGATTCCTGACTTCAATTATCATCCCAAGTGTGAAAAGTTGCAAATTATGCAGCTTGGTTTTGCAGAGGACCTTTTACTTTTTTGCAGGGGTGACATAGGATCAATCAAGTTACTGGATAATTGTTTCATGGAGTTCTCAAAAGCTTCAGGATTGGTGATTAACAAGCAGAAGAGTTCAATCTTTTTTGGAGGGGTACCACAAGATGATCAGGAAGCTATTTTGGAATTCCTGGGAATCCAAAAAGGTGAACTACCAGTTAGATACATGGGAGTTCCCTTAAGTTCCAAGAGAATATCAGTAGCTCAATGCCAACCCTTAATTGACAAAATAGTAGGCAAAATAACCTCATGGACAGCTAAATTCCTATCCTATGCCGGAAGGATTCAATTGATCAGAAGTGTTCTATTCTCTATTCAAACTTACTGGGCACAAATCTTTGTGCTCCCAAAGAAGATCACTAAGCTAATCGAGACAATATGCAAAAGCTTCTTGTGGACAGGGGAGGGCAACATCTCTAAGAAAGTATTGCTTGCATGGGAAAAAGTATGTATGCCCAAATCAGCAGGGGGATTCAATATTATGAGCATCGCACTGTGGAACAAAGCTGCTATATGTAAACAATATTAGAATCTATGTAAAGAGAAGAACAAACTTTGGATTCAATGGATGCACAGTTACTACATCAGAGGCAGGAACATATGGGAAGTCCAACTAAATCAAACATCATGGATGATGACCAAGATTATGAAAGCAAAGAAGACATTTGAGGAAGCAGGATTTAACCATGAAGATATCAGGAAGATGAACAACTGTTCAATTAAGCAAATATATCATAAGCTGAGAGGAAGCTTCAACAAAGTGAGCTGGAGAAGAGTTGTATGCAGCAATGCTGGCTGCCCTAGGTGGACATTTATGCTAACAATGACAGCACATGGCAAGTTGCACAATAAAGATAGACTGAGAAACTGGGGAATACAAATTGATCAGGAATGTGTACTGTGCAGACAAGGAAGTAAAACTATTCAGCACCTATTTTTTGAGTGCTCATATGCAGCTGAATTGTGGGGTAATCTGCTAACTTGACAAGGGATAAAAAGACCGGTATATGGATGGACTGAGGAACTAGCATGGGCTGAAAAATGGATGAAGAGGCAAAATGCAAGAAATGAACTATATAAGATGACATTGGCAGCATGTGTATACTATGTGTGGCAAGAAAGAAATGCCAAAATCTTTCAAGATAAAGTGAGACGATGGGAGATACTTGGCAAGATGATCATACAGGAACTATACTGTCGAAGCAATAAGCACGTGAAAAAAGTATTAAGTAGACTGGATTTGTACTCTATATAATAGACAAAACAATATAGCAATAGAAAGGTGGTTAAGGGGAGAAGTACGGAAAGCTTAGGACATATGTAAGTATTTTTTGATTTACTTGTAAATATTTGCCCGGTAAATAAAAGTTTAATTACCAAAAAAAAATAAAAATTACAGAAACTTTTTTTTCTTTCATGTCATTCGTGAAATAAAAGCAGTACTGGAATTTGGGTTACAATTTCACTGCCTATTTCCGAGTAGGGTTTTGTGTAGGAGAGGTTTTAGAGATGACAATGGCGAGTCACAGACTCGGCGAGTCAACTCACCATCGACTACTCGATTTCGTTAAAACAGCGCTTATCAAAATCTTCGTCTCCCCTTATGCTACTGTATGTAATCTACTCTCTCACACTATTATAATGAATGCTTCTGCCCAATAGTTGAATTGTTACACATAAATGGATATAAATTGGGAAATTTCTGATTAAGTGTTTTTTTTTTCCACACACATAATACGATATATAGGTTTGTGATATGTATTGTGGGAAAGTAGCAGATGTGGAGAAGTGGGATGAAGCTCAAATTGGTCACTACATCGGCATTGGTATGATCAGTATTACTCTTCTCTTGAATTCTTTTATTCCTTTCTGAGATACATAATACACACACATAGAGTGTTATGAATCAAAATGACCAAAAGACTAAGGTTGAGGGCAAACTTGGGAACTTAGCAAATTACATTTGGGACCCGGGTTAGATGGAGCAGATACCTATATATACAATAGGATACATTTTATTAGGCTTATGCTATGAAGTTGGTTTATTTTATTTTCCTTAGTTTCTTAGAGGATAGATCTGGAACCTCCCTCCCTTCTCCTTTTTTTTTATTTCTTCTTCCTATGGAAGATTTGGTTACTTGTTTTAAGTATTTGTAATTATTTGTAGATGGACTCCTATATTTGTGTATGTGATTCCTGTTATCCATTTCAATATAATATGGGTTCACTACATTGGTGCTCTCGTTGTTCTTACTCCATGCCTCTCTACCATTCTACCATGCCTAACGCTCAATTCAACAACCTCTTCGAATCAGTGAAGGCGCTGCAAAACTGGTGACAGCTATGCAAGAAAGTAATTCTTGTATGATCTCTTCCATTTGCCGTATACAATCACTGGTGCAGGAGGAGCTGCAATTGGACTCCATGGCTTTGGACGATGCAAAATCAGAGGAGGTCACTGTAGAAGATACAACGGGCTGTGCTGGGATAGTCTGTGTCGGCAACAATGATTCTGATTTGATCGCCGAAATTTCAGGCTTGCTGGACAATTCCAAGGTACCTCCTGATATGTTGGAAAAATCCCCATAGCAGACTCGTCTCCTGGGTATGTGCAAGTCTTGGACACCAGGTGCTCGCCATAATGTCCAATGGAAGCTACTGCCCGAAGTTCTGGGAATTGTTACTAATGAGCATGGCATTGATTCCACCAGCCAATTGAATGGTGATTCTGCTCTCCAGCTTGAGAGAATCACTGTCCATTACGATGACAGTAAGGGTGTTGCTGAGTTACACGATGATCTGACAGAAATTGTTCACTAACCACGTGGACCCCAAGCGTTGCACTCGTCTTCGTAATCCATTTGTAAATACAGTATTATTTTACTGGTTTCTTTGAAACTGGTAACGCTATGTTGGCATAGAACAATAGCTGTCGGTGTGATTATCCATATGTTGCTTCATTTTCCATTTTATCCCGATTCAGATGATGGACACTCACGCGATTGTGCCAAAAAATTCGATAATAGTTTTCAATCGGATCTCCCATTTATTGGATGCCCCGCGAGTGAAAGTAAATTGTTTAATTGGTTCTACCTTGTAAAGAGGTTGGCAGCTGGTGACTTTCACAGTTAGAGTTCCTGCTTGTGGACTTTCTCATATTGCTTACTCAAGTGCCCCAGATATGTGACGGCAGAACTTCGATCTACTTACGGTCAAATGTGTCAAGAGACATGCCGATGGTGGCGAATGTTAGTTGCAACACACTTACGGAAGTTTGCTGCTATTGTTGCACATGCTTCCTCAGATTGACATCATGTCAATGTTTGATTATCTACACATGATGCTGAGATTCATGTACGCTTATTAGCCCTCAACATTTCAATTTTCTAGGCCGCTAGTAAGCCTTGGAGCGAAACCTTATTCTGGAATTTGTGAGATGACCTTGGGCTCATTGAAAGACCAATTGGACGTTATCACACCAGCGCTGGAAAAAGTTTCATCTGCTCTTGTTCTATTAAGAATCACGAGTTCTTGGAGTATTTAAAGAGTTCATGGACTGGGGTGCAACGTGAAGCTGTTAGCAATAATGCAGCTTGATTGGTTGTAGGGTAAATGACCTCGTACTAGCTTTATCAACACATCAAATTCAAGTTGGCAATGGCAAGCAACCAAAGAGGGTGAACCTTCTGTGGAGGTTAGTGATGAAGTCTGCGGGGATGAGGTTACTGTGCTTCTTGAGAATGGACAGCAATATATAGGTGATCTTTTGGTTGGTGCTGATGGCATATGGTTTGAGGTGTCGAAAATACATGCACGGATATGCCACAAAGATGGAAATTCTTTCCCAATTGATTTACGCAGTAAACTAGGTACCTGGATTACAGATAATGGAGGTTTGAATGACACTGAATTCATTGATACTAGACGGAAACTCGAGTACTGGTGTCACATTGAGATCTTGTCCTTTGCGGAAAAAGACCATTTCGAACCTCGTGCTACTTGGATACATACAAAGGTTCTATCTGTTGTTGGGCTTCGACAAGATGAAGTCGATGCCGTGGTGTCTGTCATGAAGGTTGAAAAACCTCCTTCAGAGTTATATGCTGATTTTGGTGGATTAGACGCGCAGAGTCAGGAGATTAAAGAAGTCGTTGAGTGTCATTTGACTCACCCCAAGCTGTCTGAAGACATTGGTATCCAGCCTCTTACATGGATCGTTCTCTATAGAGAGCCTGAAGTTGGCAAAATAATATTTGCAAAGACAGTTGCTCAACCTTACAAATCAGTCCAGCTTCATGCTACAAAAGCTGCTAAGAATGCTAATGTGGTCTTCTCCATTGTTTCCAATTTGAAGCTATTGGCATCAGGTGCTAGAAAAGCTATCCTTGGCATATGTGGAACTACTGATGTAATTAAGATAAGTGAAGAGGAGAATTACTTTTTGGCACAAGGAGAAGATTCACATTATAATGTTGTTGTTCCTAAGTTGTGCCGTCCAAATCTGAGGTTACTTGTCATAAAAGGCCGTGCAGTTTGTTTCCATTATACCAAAGAATTCTGTGGACGAGTTAAGGTTTTAAAGCTGGATTCTGTGGGCATCTTCAGTGTTGGAGATGCTTTTGTATCTAGAAGATTGTTACAACTAGCATATGATATCTCTCTGCACCAGGATGACAACAATCTAAGAGAGGCCCTCAAGTTTAACTTTTCATTTGATGTGCTCAAGAAATTTCATCATGTACTTTGTCTATTCAAGTGTCGTTTCTTGACTAGATTTCCATTGAATGCACCAGTTAAGATTCTGGAAGACTTTAGCAGCATTGAGGAGGCAAATCAACTTATTATTGGCACATTTCATGTTACGCACGAATCAAGTGAAAAGAGAGTTCACAATGCTAATGTCACTTGGGATTCCTTGTTGAATGTTATCATCGTCTTGCGGGTATTTCTATATTTCCTCCGTTGCATTGACCAGGAAGACAATGATGACATCTCTCTTGTTGCAACAACTCTCGACAAATGTTTGAGTCTTGACAAATTAAGTTGTACTGTTTTGCAGCTTGACACTATTGAGATACTCACATTGATCCACTCGAACCTTGAGGACAAGGTTCTTTTTGAGGGCGGAGGAATTGTTATGAATCAAAATGACCAAAAGACTAAGGTTGAGGGCAAACTTGGGAACTTAGCAAATTACATTTGGGACCCGGGTTAGATGGAGCAGATACCTATATATACAATAGGATACATTCTATTAGGCTTATGCTATGAAGTTGGTTTATTTTATTTTCCTTAGTTTCTTAGAGGATAGATCTGGAACCTCCCTCCCTTCTCCTTTTTTTTATTTCTTCTTCCTATGGAAGATTTGGTTACTTGTTTTAAGTATTTGTAATTATTTGTAGATGGACTCCTATATTTGTGTATGTGATTCCTATTATCCATATCAATATAATATGGGTTCACTACATAGAGAGTATACATATGTGTGCATAGTATACATATATATGCGCAAACAAACACACACAAACCAGCCTAAAGATACTATTAACATGGTGTAAAACTGTCTGCTTTGGGTCAAGCCCGACTCTTTTTGACAAAAGGCCTCACGCCGTTAAGAGTATCCATACACCTTATATGTTGCTTCGTTTTCTTTTCAGCTACCAATGCTGGACTTTTGTTTGTACATCATATATCTACGTATACATAATATATTTGTTTTATTTATTTTATTAGATACTCTTCCTTTTACTTTGTTTCCTAAAAGATTGACATATTTAAATATTTAGAGACTTTAATTTTAACATTTCCACTTTATCCTTAGTAAAATGCTACCTCACTAATAGCATAAGATGTTTAAGAACAAGATTCTAAGACTACTTTTGGTATATATTTAGCTTACATGTCAAAAGTCCCCCGTCAAACACCTTCATATAAACTGAAGCAGGAAGAGTAATTCATTAATACACAATGTTCATATATAAAAATTTGAGCTTTGTGTTGAATAGATGTGGCAACGTCGGGAGTGAACGAAGTGAAGGAAGCGTGGGAGAGTCAGCGGAAGGCTTACACATCTGAGTTCATTGAGCTTGACCCTTGTATTGTGAGTCCAACAATTGTTTCTTTTTTTCTTTTTTGGGCATAATTTACTTGGTCTATGCTTATTTAATTTATGAATCAAGGATTGTGTTGGTTTTCCTTATGAGATTCTGTTTGGAAGGTGGGCTACTGTTTTGTAATTGACTTGCTCCATCAATTTCTGTTGTCTGTTTGAATGACCAAGACTGTTGAAGTGATATCTAGCTCCAAGGTTGAAATGAATTTTATCTGAAAAGATTGAATCTTCATACCTTGCTGCTTTACTTTTATAGTTTTGTATTTCAAGTAGTCAATGTGCAAGCACCTTTTTAGTCTCTTGCCTTTCCTTCTGTTTCGCTGGACATTTTGTTTTAGTGCCTTAATTCTTCTTTTTTCCTTCTCCTTATTTGTGTGATTGGTTGCTGTTCAGCAACACAAAGCAGATTGTTGTTTAGTTAATTGTTTTATCCAATTAATATTGCTTTTATTGTGGGGTGTCATTTACCCTTCTCCTAGATGGTTACCGAGTTCTCAGCCTATGAATTATGTTGTATGTTTCTTTATGTTAAATTGCATGACTGGTCTAGTTGACATTTAATTGCATGCCAGTACATTTTTTATACAGGAAGATATAGACTCCTACTGGCAGGACAAGGAAAAGCAAGCCGATATTGTTTTCTGCATGCACAATTTACAGGTTACCTGCCCTTGTACTAGTGTCTTGTTTATGTACACTTCTATCACCTGTTAATATCATTAAATTTAATCTGATATTTACTTGCAGGTGTGCTTTGATAGTGAAGAGAAAGCAAGGAGGCTATTGCATAATGTATCATCTTTGCTTAAACCTGGGGGTTACTTTCTTGGTATTACTCCTGACTCATCTACTATATGGTATGAAACTAAAAACCGCATGGTTGACTTACATTGTTGTAGTCTTTTTTCTTTGCATCTTGCTGAAGTAGGGTGTCTTTTAATGCTTAAAATAGCTTATGTTATTTTGGCTCAAGTTTCCGCTTAGTCTTGTTTGGTTGTTTGCACTCCATGTGACCTTGTGGTTGTTGTAGGGGAAAATACCAGAAGAATGTTGAAGCATACCATAGTAGGAACCCATAGGACTTCCAAATTTAACTGTCTCAGCTGTAAATTAGGGTTGTTGTACTCTCATATTTCTTGAAGAGACGAATGGAGAATAACAGAATGTCTAATTGTCTGCACATTATAGTAAGTCATGATTCTTTATAGTGATAATTCTCATTTATTCAACAAATTGAGAAAGGAAAAAGTTAGATCCTTGTTTATGAGCTATAATCAATATGTCGATTTCATCCAGTATGTTGGATTATAAATTCCTCTTTCTGTAACTACCCCTTGATTCTGTAGATTCATATTATTTGGATCTACTGGATAAAGTATTTCATATAAGTTATAGGCGTACACAATAATCTATAGTTGTTTATTTCTTGTTCTTTCTTTTGTCCATTTTCTTGTCCTTTTTTTAAAGAATATTTATGGTCCATGTATATGCTGATTTCGTGATCAGGGTGCCTTTTTTTCCCCTTCTTCTAAGATATTGATATGCATTTATTTTCAGTAATTTAATTATATAACATTAAGATACTTATATGAGATAGTCTAGTAGGTTAGGGACTTTTCTTGGGTTCAAGGCCTTGTTGGGAGTTATTGATGCTGGTTCCCTCATGCTATTTTTTCTCAAGTTTCCGTTTACTCTTGTTTAGTTGTTTGCACTTCATTTGACCATCTGGTTGTTGTAGGGCAAAATACCAGAAGAATGTTGAAGCATACCATAATAGGAGCGGGGCGATGAAACCAAACATTGTACCTAATTGCATTAGATCAGAAAATTACATGATTACCTTTGAGGTTGAGGAAGAGAAGTATGTAAGCCGCTTAGCATTCAGTTATGTTTAATCTTACTGTGTACCACTTTTGAGGCAATTGATTATGTCGCCTTGTGAATTGGATTTCAGGTTTCCCTTCTTTGGTAAGAAGTACCAATTGAAGTTTGCAAGTGACATCTCTGCTGAAACCCATTGCTTGGTTCATTTCCCTAGCCTGCTCAGGTTCATGCCTTTCAAGATCCTCTATCAAATTTCTTTGATCAAATGTTCATCCATTTGAAATCATTCTTTTCCCGTCATGGGAATAATCAAACGTGTTTTCTCTCTTTCTCCTCTCTTGATATGAACCTGGTCATTCTATTCCAAAGTTGTACAAACATTATAGGCTATCTGTCTGTTTCTTTGGTTTGTTTGATTCATTTTTTTGAGCTTTGTGCTTTCAAGAGGGGAAGAAATATGTTAGTTTTTTTTATTTTCTTATCCTTCCAATATAGATAAATCCTGTAATTAACTTGTGAAGTCATATTCCTCAGGTTGGCCAGAGAGGCTGGTCTTGAGAACACAGAGATTCAGAACTTGACAGATTTTTATGATGATAACAGGTACTTAATAGATTGTAATCTACAACTTCACCATCATGCCTCATTCATTTAATTGTTTACCATCTTAATCTATTATGAAATTTACCGAAATATTTGGCACGTAATTGATGAAGCACACAATCTGTTCCTTTTATGGTAAAATGATGAAGTTAACAGGTGCCAGTTAACGAGCACTTCTGTATTCTAAGTCTTTTAAAGCTAAACTTTTAAATCTTATAATCTATTGGGTAGGGAAAGTATGTACTTCATAGCAACACTTGTTATGTCAAAAAGTAGTTTATACATGCCGCGAGTACTCACAGAGCACTCGGGTGGATTTAATACTGTCTGGCCAACTTGTGTACATCAGAGCAACTCTCTTCGTGTTATGAAATGTTTTTACTTGTCTCACCAAGTATACCATAGTATTTCCTTGTAAGTGCGAAAGAAAATGGTTACCCATCACTTCAACCTTTTTCCATCATTTTGCATGTCACTGCTTCAACTTACCGAGGACATGACCCTCGATAGGAAGGCGTGGAGGACGAGTATTACGGTTGTAAGTTGACAGATAGGTCGCGAGTCTCTCCTAGGCTTGTCAGTAAAACTAGCCCTATTGTTGTATTTGCTTATTCCTGGTTCGTTATTAGTACATGTTGTGTTATTCGCTTCCATTACCCTATTACCTGTTGTTGCTATTGTTTGTTGATTTAGTTCACTGTTTCTTGAGCCGAGGGTCTTCCGGAAACAACCTCTCTATCTTCGTAAGGTAGGGGTAAGGTCTGCGTACACACTACCCTCGCCAGACTCCACTTGTGGGATTATACGGGGTTTGTTATTGTGTTGTTGTTGATTGCATGGTAATTTTCTCTTTCTCATTATAACTTTTTTTCCTACCTTGCTCTTTTTGGTTTTTGTTAAATTCCGTTCTTCCGTCTAGAAGGTTATGTTAGGGTGGTTAGCTGGATGGGAATAATTGAGCAAACAGTGGATAAACCTCTGTGCAACCTACTTCATCAGAAAAAAAAAAAAAAAACCCTCTGTGCAACCTGGTATTAGTGCTTGAATTAAGTTTTAGCATGACAGTTTTTATTTGTTTCAAAGGGAATAACTGATAATGTGATAAAATGCTTCTATTTAGCCTTTTCAATCCCGTTTTCTTAGATTATTAGAAGTGTCTGTTTATGTAGACCATTGTTTTCAAGCGTCTTTAGGCTCCATCCATAAAGTTCTTCGCTTGTAAATACGATCTGATAAATTACTTCTATCAGAGCAGCTGATTCTTCCTTCATTTTACTCTGTTCATAGAGCACAAGTTCTTGGGATACTACAAGATGCAGGCCATAGCTTTATTGATCCCAGGGGAAGACTTCTTCCCAGATCATATGATGTTTTAGGTAATCAGTCTATTCACTGCATTGACCATTTACTAAAAACTGGTGATATTCCTACATTTTTCACTCATATCCCGTCCTCCTGGTATTTTTCTTATGCAGGTCTGTTCACCACATTCATATTTCAAAAGCCTGATCCAGATATTGCACCTCCACTTACGACTCCATTTTTGCCTGTTGGAAGCCACAATCCTGATGAGGTAAATTACCTTAACTTCAGGATAAACAACAACTCACTTCTCCATTTAAGCTCAACTCATGTTATCATCATATCAAATAAAATAAAAGTGAAAAATAAGTTTTAAATATAGATATATACTAGTAATCTAAGTTGCTCCGACATGGCAGTTTAGGTGGCGTACCCCTGTCGACACGACACTAGTATGGGTGTTGGTATGGAATCCGTACCGGATCTGGTCAAACAATTTTGGGTACTTTGATCACGTCAGACAGAAAAATTCGAGACGAGATATAATTTGATTCCCGAAAACGGAACCAAAACTAGGGTAAATCTAAAGAAGATAGCATACTTTATCTAGAAAATCAATCCTTTACTTATCTACAACTTGAGAATAAAGAAATTCACACTTTACAAGCTAAGTATTCCACAAAATTTCTCATAATTTAGAGGTATTTTTATTTTATTTATTTTTTTGAATTATTTTTAGCCGGATCCTCCCACCCGTATCCATGCTAGGATCCATATCCCCGAATCCTAGAATTTACATCCCGAAGGATCCGACCTCTAGATCCGCACCCGTGTCCGAGCAACTTAGCTAGTAATAGTAATAACAAAAATGTTCGAAGTTCTCAAACAAGTCTAAAACCTATTCCTGATTAGTAAAAATCAGCTATATGGATCTTTGACTTCCATGTATCCTCTCTTTAGCTAAGTCTATATTGATTCCAAGAATTTGTAGGTCTTTCGAGATAACTTCCCATGTGATTTTAGGTCTACCTTTACTTTAGGATAGGACTAAAATTTCTACTCCACCTTTGAGGCCTTTGTTCAACTTCGTAAGATCTTCAAACTGCGTTTAAACAACATAATTATTCATGGAATTCTGCATAACTTGTGGTTGGAAGTAAACGATCCCATTGAGTTATTATTTGACTCTTTAGATTAGCTGCATCTCGGTTAAAAGAAACTATCCATACAATTGTTTTATTGGCAGAGGACATCCCTGTCTTTTGCTATTTCGTATTGCCAACTTGCAATGTTATTCCTAATGGTGTAGTGTATAACTAAAATCTCCTCATGTTTCAGATGGATTGGCAAGTCATTGGGTGGAATGAAGAGGAGAAGAATGTACTGACTGATCCATCTATAGGTTTGGGCAAGATAACTGAACAAAAAGGGATTTTAGGTCCTGGTCCTGCAGAATTACGTTTCCCTGAAGCTATTTGATGTGATTAGCATAGACATTTGACGACAGTTCGAAGGATCAATGCGGAAGTCGTGAGTTTTCAGTGTCGTTTCATCTCGCTCATTTCATTCCACCGGTGGTAGACATTTTGGTTTGTTGATTGGCAAGATGTGTATCATTATATCATTTTGTTGTACCAAGGAAAGACATATTGGTTAATGGATTGGTTTGATGTATATACCTCTCTTTTGGGCACTAGACAGTTTTGATGTAACTAACAATTTAAGATTCATCTTCTCTTTACTGACTTCACAAAAACGAACAGTTCCCTATTTTCTATGTGGACAAATATGATACAGGCCTTACACGCATAGATGTTTTGCAATCATGCATTCACAGATGACTAGTGGTTTCGAGGTTGCTCTTTTTGACTGATAAAATACAACAACAATAACATGGATGGGGTTTGCGCAGATCTTACCCCTACTTTGTGTGAGGTAGAGAGGTTGTTTCCAATGGACTCTCGGCTTAAGAAAAACATTTTCGAAACAAGTTTGAAAAATACAAGAGTAAAAAAGCTAAGATGAAATGCTGAAGTTGTAAACATAACCAAAGTAAAAGAAACAATAGTAGTAATAAAATTGAAAAATAAGATAATAATCGAAATTATTTTTGACTGATAAAGTATTCCTTAAATTTATTGATAATTTGAGCATTTGAAATTTTGAATTCGCACTTAATTCTGGATGAGTACACACACACAATTTTTTTTATTCAAAATTAACTTAATTCTGGATGGAATGCAAAATTTTTTCACCCTTTTTTTCGGTGTGAATGATGATTTTTCCCGTTTGCTTTTTTCTTGCTTTCCGGCATAACCATATTGAAGAAAATGTAATGCATAGCTCATGTTTTGTTGACAAGCTAATTGAGTGTTCATTTCTCAAAAACATTGATTCTCATAAATGGAGTCTCTTATTTCTTTTGTGACAAATGTGTAAAATACTATAACAAGTTTAACAAATAGCACTGCAACTGACGTAAAACAGAGATGCCTCATCATGGAAAATTTAAAAAAAAATTGTCAAAATGAAATACGCCCGGCGAACTCGAACCCACAATCGCCTGAATAGAAGTCAAGGGCGGCTCAAGCACATATGTGGCTTAAAGCCAAAGTTTAATGTGAGGCCTAAATTCTTTTTTAAAAGGCTATAATATATATTTTTATTTGAAGTTTATTCTTCTAGATTTTTGAGATGCAAAGTTGTTAATAATATTTTTATAACTAGTTTTCAGGTACGTGCGTTGCACGTGTAACGAGCGTCTATTAGTAAGAAAATTACATATGACGAGAACGAACTATGTATAATAGCAATTAACGTCCAAATAAATTCAACATGCAATTGAAATGAAAAATGAGCGTAACTACATTGATGTGATAGCCGAATTCAAATATGTTGGATATCTTCTGAACCTGTAACGGTCAACACTTCAATTTAGTTAAGGTAGTGATATATATAATTATAAATAATATATTTTATGAGTTAATAATAGTTATATTGTTGCATCTTGTCTAATATCTCTTATAGCCAATATTCAAATTTTTAAAAAATTTCTTTTAAAGAAGATTTAAAAGAAATGCTTGAAACACTAATAGGGAGTTAATGTATTAAAAATTATTTGCTAATGCATTGACGTATGTTAATCCAACCAAAATGCGCATGCTACTAAACTATTAATTTAAATACTTTTTACCTTGTCAACCCTTCTAACCTAGTTAGAATCCTCTAAAGTTGCAATTTTTATGGAGAACTATAATCCATCATCACTAATATTGACGAACATAAATTGTTTCTATTTATGAATTTATTTGGAGATCATACATTGAGCAAGATCATAAAAGTGAAGATTAATACGCTTTTGTCTACATATACAAGAACACACTTTATTAATTAAGCATAACTTTATGCATAGTAAGATTTTTTTTAATAGCAGCATAAATATCAAATAAAGCTAAACCAGACTTAGCATATAGTTTAAGTAAATTCATATTAAGAAATATCTCAATCTCAAAGCTCAAATGCAAAAGAATTATCGTAGCTAAACTGCAACAAAGCCATATAACTTTTAGAACGTAATAAATTAAACATCAAAACATTGCGAATAAAATAAAATATTATTTAAGAGATCGATAAGGAGAATTATTTACCTGAACCAATAAAAATTGTTAAAATTTAGGGTAGATGCAAGGACACCAATTGCCAAGAGCTATTCTTTAAGAACACAATTTTAATATTGTGATATGTATAGTATAGTCAATTAAAAGATGTAATTAAATTTAATTTTATCTTACAAAATATTAGCAACCTGAGCTAGCATGAAAATTAGTAATTAAAACTATCAAATGTCTTAATTAACAAAATATTTAATTTATATGAGTTAAAACGTCTAACTAATTTTATGTGCAAATGCACCAACCCAAAGAACATGTACAATATTCGTATATGAGTCATAAACCAATGATCATATATGAGATATTATAAATAAAATCGCATTTGACAAAGTTTTAATATGCAGTTGTTTATCAGTAATGTATCAACAATAATTATTACATAATTTCAAGAATAGAACAAGGTAGAAAATTTGTCTCAATTCACAAGTAAATTTACCTATACTGACATCGATACTATAAACAATTTATAATAAAGAATATAGGATAGTGGCTTCTTTTATAAAAGTGGTTAGTTCCTCCTTATTTTTGTTCTAAAATTCTAGAAACCTAAATTGAATCCTAAAAATGAATAAAGCGAAGACACAACGTTATCGTAAACTACGGTCGGTAAACTAACATTAAAATGAATCCTAAATCTTCACAAAAGAGACAATGAAAATTGCATCTTAAACCGGTACAAAAGGAACAACGGAGAAAAGACATACCGTGATTAAAAAGAACGAATCCAAAGAACCCTAAAAGTAAAGTAAACAAAAACCCAAGAATCCTAAACCTAAAGATAACAAAAACAAAGAAAAGAAAACTGTAAGGCAAGAATCCCAAACAATGTAAATTCTAAAAAATTCTAAACCTAAAGGAAGCATACGACAATTTTTGATTTTGGCCAAAAAAAATTAATGATTATAATTACAAGTATATCCAATATATAACGCACTTACGAAGGGTAAAAAAGGCAAACGATATTTCGATAGAGTCTTCGTGCTTTTAATATAGTACTAATTACTATGTACGTGCGTTGCACGTAAATTTTTAGTCATAACTTTTATGTGAAAAAAATAACTTACTAAATTTAGTAACAAATTATTTACACGATGAAATGATCATCGTAAAGTAATTAACATGATAAAAATACAGCAATAATTTAAATACTAAAAATATACTTGAATTCAAATGATATCGTCTTAACCTACAAAGAAGATCAATTTTGTTATTTTAGAAATTATCTCTAATTTATAGTGTATAAATATTCAATGTGTTAATATCATATCTAATAATTCTTTATAGATGACGTTTTTGATGTATATCTTCTATAACTTTGGCTTCTCTCTCTTAAAAGTGAAATATATAGTTGTCCATCTTTGAATCACCTCCAAAAAGTATTACTTTTTCTCTATTGTACTTTGACATATTTGTGAGGGTTGTCTCAATTATTTATAAAGTTCTGTCGAATTTACCTTATGACGTATATAACCCAAGTAAAATTGTTACTGCTTTATCGTATTCAAATGTCACGACCCAATTTCACTTTAGATCGTGATGGCGCCCAACACTGTTGTTAGGCAAGAAAACGCGGAAATATTAATAAGTTCTAGTTTTACTTTTTCCAAAACAGTTACCACAATCTCTAAGTTTGAATTTAGAACAAGCGATAATTAACATCGTACCATAATAGCTATACAATCCCAACAAAAGAATAGTCTACTAATGTGTGAGCCAAGACCCGGTGTCACAAGCATGTGTGCATCTAGTAGAATATACAAAAGAATAATTCTATCCTACTGTCTGAAATAGAATAGACAGCCAAAAGTAAAGAAAGACTCCATCGGGCTGCTGAACGGCATAGGAAGGGAGCAGCTCACCGTGAAATCTCGGGCCGAATCAAGAGTATGCACCAGCCTGGTAACCAGATGTACCTGCCACAGATCTTGTACAATTAAGTACAGAAGTGTAGTATGAGTACATAAACAATATGTACCCAGTATGTATCTTGTCTAATCTCGAAGAAGTAGAGACGAGAGGTCGACTTGACACTTACTAGGGTCAAATAATAAGAGAAGTGTTATACTAAGCACGGATAACACAAATGATTAACAATTTATAGCAAGAAGTAACAGTTCTTTTCCTAGATGATATCGCAGTTAGCCGTTTACATTTCAGGGCATATAACAAAGTTCAGTCCACAACAATATACCGAGCAAGAAGCATATGCAAGTAGTGCCGAGGTCGTACGGCCCGATCCAACATAAAAATAAGTGTGCACTGCCGGAGGGTCGAACGGCGCCAATCATAGATGCATCTATTACCCCGCTCGCGAATCATGCATGCGACGCGGTCAAATATAATTAAGCACAACAACATGCAAACAAGAATATATATCGGGGGGGCAATTACTCACAGAAATATCAACTTCTCTTTTAAAGGGTCAAGAAAGTGATGTTCCTCCTATTAATTTCATTTACCACATTCAACATGATTTAAGCAATCCAAATTAACCATAAAGTTACATGAATATCACATAAATCATGCTTTTGGATCCTAGACTACCTGGTCTTAAGCATAATAGTGGCTACGCACGGATTTTCGTCACCTAGTGCGTACATAACCCCCGCATTTAGTGTCAAATTATTCAATTATTTCACCTATGTGGACAATTCCCTCTTACAAGGTTAGATAGGAGACTCACCTCGCTCCAAAGCGTACTTCCAATACCATGAACGTGCTCAAACCCTCAAATTTGGAGCCGAACGATCCGAAACTAATTCAACGAGGTAGGAACTAGTTAATACAAGCTCACAAGATCGCATTCCAACTATTAAAGTGATTTCCCAACCCAAATCACAAGTTTCCTAAAATCCGACCCCGGGCCCACGCACCCGGATTCCGAAATTTTCCGAAGAAAGTTGTTCTTTATAACCTAAGGATAAAAAATATATGATTTCTACTTTATTTCATAACAAATTAATCTAACTTTTATCAAAACCCTAGGTTTTGCTCTAACCCCATGGTTTTCACTAATTTTAGTGTGTTAATCTACCCAAAATGCAAGTATTAAACTCACATTAAGTAGAAATAACTTACCTCACAATGCTAGGTTGAAATCCCCTCTTTGAAAGCTCCCAAATCGCCCAAGTGTAG